AACAAAACCAAAGACCACAGGACGCGGTCTACAGACACTTCTGAAACAAAGATGCCTCATTTCAAAATTAGTGAATTTTAAGGAGCACAATCCACAGAGAAGTCAGGTATCGAGAGCAAGCTGTGGCCCAAGCACTTTGGAAGCAACAGGCTAGACAACTGGTTACTGGAAAGAGATCTGTAGCTGTGGGATCAAACCCAGCCCTTCCTCCAACTCCTGTAACTCAGCAAAGTCCCTTCTCTGCCCATCTCTGTCTAGCAGATGGTGAGGTGGAGACAAAAACTGTTGCTCGTACATGAGGGCTCTGACTGTGCAGCCCTGACAAAAGTGGCAGCTGATCAGCACCTGCATTCTTCCCCCCAATTAGAGGCAATTAACACCTCCTGCTCATCCTTCCTTTTTTTGCCATGCAAAAATTTCAGAAGCAACAGTTCTTCTACTGCTTGCAGGACAGTCTTCCCCAGCAGTAGAGAAAAAGATGACACTATGCACTGAAAAGTGATAAAGTCTGTTTCGGAACTGTGGGAACTCACACCGATCTTTCTTGCCCAAAGAAATTCCCATCAGCAGCCAACGAGGCACTTCTCAAAGGGAGCTAAAAAGATGAGCTAGCACAGACAATACACTCAGAGCATGGAAACACAAGACCTGAAACACAAGTTCGCTCACGGCAGACTGAAGCGTGGTGAACCTGTGAACAAAGGCCATGACAACAGCCATCTTCCGCAGTCCTTCCACGGAAAGCTGAGAGATTTGCCATGTCTACTCCTTCTACTTCTGCAAACCTTGACACTCTCAAGGATATATGTTAATATATGTTTTATTTTTGTAAGGAAAAAAGTTCTGCTCCAAAGTTTTTCTGCTTCAATGAGAGAACCTGTGAAGGTAGACCCTTGTCATTAAGCCAAGGTGTGAGAAGGAAAGACCCAAACTACTGGCTGTTGATAATTGTAGGAATAGGAAAGGTCTGATTCACCAAGACTTATCAGATGCAAGCAAATCAAGGTCTTCCCAAAGGAAGCAGGATACTTCTTAGGAAAGAGATATAAACCTTGTATCTGAATGTCAGCTTCCTTCCCAGAGCTGCACCAGCAGGATGGAGATTGCCAGTGCAGAAAACGACTGCTGATGGTTGCAGTTCTCCACTGAGGTCCTGCAGGTTAATGGCAATGCTCTCCTTCAAAAGCTCAGCTATCACCTGGTGTTCTTCCAGTGAAGCACAGATAGCAAGAGCAGCTAAAGACAATGTAAAAGCGTCTGTACCAGTTAAGCTCTTGACAGGCTGCCTTACACAGGCCAGGAATGGTCAGCAGAAACACAGGTGCTGAAATCAAAAGACTTGGAGCAAACGGCTTCAACTCCTTGTGTAAAGCCTGCAGAAAGACTTGATGTCCAGCAGTACCCTTGCACTAGTGTCTGTTAAAAGTTCAGGTCGTATGTGACTCCACATCCAAAACAAGCCCCTAGGATACTTAATTAGCATAGATTCACCGATATATGAAAAATTATGAATTAGAGTTAAAGCAAAACCTAAGCTCAACACTACAGGTATTAAAAAAGCAGCAGTTGCATCATGATGGCAAAATTCAAGATTGACAGGGACGACTCTACTGCCACTCATTTTCACCAGTGAAACCGCAGTCATGAAATAAAACTGAAAAGGTTTCAGTATTGTCATAGCTACCATAAGCCATGAATGGCTGGAACCTGCCTAATTTGCTAACAAAACAGGCTTTCAATAAAATGATTAGCGATATAATAGACAACATTCATGACTGGATGATCCACAAATATGTGCTACAATAGGTCGGCTGAAAGGCCTTTCAAGCAGAACCAGAATAAAAAAAAAGTGATCCCACTTTAGCCACAAGTGAGATTAGAACACTGACCTGCTCACAGCAGTTAAAAAGCTTTTAAAATAGGAATAAGCAAAGGGTTTGTTGCATCTAAGGGCAGGAAACACTGCACAATTAATTTTGCCTTACGTTACAGTACTACTGAAAGATTAAAGTGAAAAAATGTATGACATTGTCTAAACAAATCTTCTAGCATTATTAATTTAAGTCTGTGCAATAGTATGTGACTAATGTTCACTGGCAAGATTAAATTCAACTACAAAAATGTTAAGATCTGATTATGGCAATTATGAATTCTACACACACTGCAGCCTGCCCATTAAGAGCCTACCCCTGCAGCATTTTCATATTAGTTTGTTATATTCTTCCTAAAAGCAAGAATTTTTGCCCAAAATTAGTATTTTCCCCCCATATTAAATAAATCATAATGTTCCTGAAAACATTTTTTGTAATCAAGTGGGGCTTAAATCTTTAGAGATCCTTGTTCAAACATGAGCGGGGATAAACATTAACGCCACTGGGTATTGACTAATCAGTTAATAACTTCTACCTCAGAAATCCAAGGCTGGAAATACACTGGGTTTATGCCATCTCCGACCACAACCAGAACACAGCCAGAGCATCACGTTTGGGAGGAATAGAATTCATCACCTTTTAGAACAGAATCTCTGGGTTTTCAGCTCTGCAGTGGATGGGGCTGACTCGATCTAACCCTTATCTAACATGACATTGCCATTGTGATATAAATAGTGTCTTAGTTGTCTGCTTCAGAGGAACAATGTTAGTCAAGAAAAGGTCAAATGGTTTTGCCACAGGGGAAAAGAGCAAAAATCTTTTGTAATTTAATATTGCCCTTTTTTTTTGGAAGACAGGAGACTCCAGGTGCTAGTCACATAGGAGGGAGAGGAATACAGAAGAGAAGACAAGGCATATTTATCTAGTCTGCAGTAGCACAAAGCAATAATATTTCAACATTTCTTAAAGCCCAGGAGGAACTAGTATTCACCCAGCATCTCACTGATCTCATCTTTACTTGGAATCCTATAAACCTCTACAGACAAAGTCTGCTCAAACCTGCCTACTTTGACAAAGTAGAAATAAGTTATAGCTGCAGGCAACTCTAGGACAGAGGTACTTGATACACCTACTAGTGAATGTGTATTTTCTTATTCCACAACGCTTACTGCATTGATGCTTTCAATTAATAAAGCATTAATAAACATGACTTTTACCCATAGCTAGCCAAATTGATCTATTTTTAGCCAAATAGGAAAAATACCCAGTTTTAAGTCTTTGAACACATTACACAACCTGACATTACTGCTACTAATCCTCAGATAAACACTATACAAATACCCATGTGTATTTATTAAGGTTGCTTTCAAGCATTTTTCTTATCCTACAGAAAAGAAAGTAGCTCTGTTACAAAATTTGCATGCAAGACAGGCTAGTATATTCATACACAGTCGAACTAGAGACATACATACAGCTGGGAAGTGAAATTTCTACAAATTACTACATGAAGGTGACCCAAAGCCCGATTTATTGCTAGCTTTTATTGCTTGCTTTTATTGCTTCCAGTGCACTAGTAATCTATGCACATGGCAATACTTCAGTACTAATGGAAATCAGTAAACAAGGTCACATGCGTGTCAAACAGTTGGTTTGCACATTCTAAAAATACTTGTAGGTCCCGTTTGCTAGAATGGCACTGACGTTTCCTTAAGTCATCCACGCTGCCTGTGCCGCTCACTGGGCGCAGCCTGCACCTACAGCTCACGGTATGCAGGGTGGAATACATCCTACTCAGTGGAAATAAGGGTAATTGCGAAATTTGTTATCAACCAAATTAGAAAGTAAAATAATTACAGCAAATTTCCCCTTGGGCCATCTTCTGCAGACTACAGAAGACTTCTAAGACACTCCAAACCAGCCCATCTTTCCTGGGAAATACCACACATCGGAAAATAATTGTTTATCACGAAATTAAGTTACAGCACGTAAGGTGAGATAAACGGAGTATCTGACTCGACTGGAATCGCGTGTTTGGCCCAGACCCTTTGCTACACAGGCACCTTGTAGGTTATTTTTGCAAAACATATTTATGCAGTGACTTTAAGCCTTCAGGCTAAACATAACACAGTGCAAAGGGCTACAAGAGAGAATGCAGCAGGTCCCCTCAGCTAGCCATCCTTTTCTGTATGAACAGGAAAATTTGAGATGCAGCAGCAAAGACGACAAAATCTATGTAACAGCAGTAGCCTATACAATCTGTACAAAGAGAATGAAATGCTCCAGCTATTATTCCAGCCTTAAAGTAAAGCATCTCCTCGAGTCGTGACTAGCAGAGGGATTTCGCTTTCCATGCTGCTTTGTGAAGGTGGAGTGAATCTCACCAACTACTGAACGCAGCGTGACAACCTGAACCATAGGCAACACAGACAGACATCATAAGGGCGCACAATGCACTTAAAGTAAAGAGTGCTTGCAGTGAAGTATCATTCGAAGAAAATGCAGCGGAGGAAACAGTGTTCAGCAGAGCATGCATCTTCTGGCATTTTGAACTCAAACCAGAAATTTTCCAACCTCACAAGAAGAATTAAATTATAAAATTTATGAATAATAGATCTATCTTTGGACTTCTGAAAAGTTCCTGAAAATTCTGAGCACGTGAACCTTAGTTAGGAAGACTGAAATTGAGGATTTGAAAGAGAAACGAAGACAAGCTCAATGTTTATGTAATAAAACAAAACCCAGTGCCAAAGCTTGAGAAAAACAAGGAAATTCAATGGTTCTAACACTATACATTCAGGATTTGCAGTTTCTAACTGCCATCTGGAATTCTATTTTTTTCTTTTAAATGCATAATGGGAAACTAAAGCAAGATAGCTTGTACCTTCATGTCCTCAGGCTTTTTTGTTAGTTCGTTTGTTTTTAAACAAGTATACAGATAATGACTGGTTATGGTTACCAAGAAATACCTAAAGAAAATGAGTTTTTCAAAATGCCCCATCCAAATGTATTAGCAATTAGAATCTCCTCAAGTTTCCATTAGTATGCCAAAACAAGAAATAATCTTATAGCAGCTCTGACAAAAACTCTTAAAGATTGTCACATTGATTGAATCTCAAAGTATAGACTTACAAATTCGTAGTCTCCATCCTGTGGTACTTTCCAATCAGATGAATTTTTTGTCTGGCCAGACACGTTCTTCCCAAAGCTATTGATTTGATTCTCCTTCTCCTTCTGCTCAAAATATTCAAGGAATGATGGTTTGGCTGGCTGCATCGTTTCATCCCTCCCTGGAAATATTAAAAATAAAAAACCCAGTTGTTTTGAAAAAATATATTTTCGATTATACTGCCTTACATCATGCCCAAAAGTGATTTTATTTTTTTAGCACACACTAAATCATGTAGTACTGCTAAAGTACTATTTTTTCGGCAGCTTTTCAAATATAAAACTGACTATACAGTGAGAAAACTGGAGAAGGGAAGCTTAAAGCCCACCACACAAGTGATTACAATGCTGGAGGTCTTGGCCTCTAGACCTGCAATCCATCCATCAAAGCACACTACCAGTAATCAAGCTTCATGCACTGAATGCTAGAACTAAACTGCTACCAACTAGAGAGGTTGGGTTTTTTTCATCCCAGCCACGTTGCATGCACTGGAGAATACGCAAAGCTCCAAAACTAAACAGTGTTGTTTTACAAGCAGAAACTCATCTTTATATTTATAAATGGAATAGTACAAAAACAAGGCTTTCAAAGACCACTTCTACCATACAAATATCACATAACTTGCCTTGGGTAGAAGTAGTCAAGTTCTACATTTCCTGTGTAGGAAGGATTAATTAGTTTGCAAAGCTTCTTTTTTTCTTCTTATAAAAAGTCAGTTAGTAAGTTTTCAAGTTTACTGCCCTAGTTTTCTTTTTGTAAGTTAATTCCTCTGAACACACTTCTTAGTGGATTACTCGAATAAGCCAGACAGATAAACCATTTAATTATAGACTGCATTTAAGAAACTTGGGGTAATAAGAAATGGGCAAGGGTACAAAGAGAGACAGAGGAGTCAAACTAACCCCCTAAATATGAATACTTTGATTTTTAAGAGCAGGTCTCATAAGCCTCCCAAGCACCATTCTCAATAACAAAGAGCTCACCCATACTGATGGGAGAAGAAAGGATATAGCCAAGAGCACAAAGCTTTAGCACAACTAGATTTACATTATTCTTATTTCTCTAAATTATTCTTCTGAACAAGAAGTTAGAAGAAAAGGAAGAATGCTGCTGATCCATTAAAAGCAATGAGCCAGTAAAACTTCATTCTCATAGGGTGCCCAGGTATGTTGGGTAGTTGGTGGGATTAGGGCTACGCGCAGTAATGTATCCCTTCTTACTTCAGCCACCACACCATCTGAATCCCTGCTCATGTGATTTAAGTACCATTACACACGAATAAATCTAGCAACCCATTCAGCAAACAGATTTCCATCCCTGAAGGAAGAAACGCAAGGTCACAAGTTCCCAGATCAAAGCAGATCCCCAGTGCTGTTTGGAGAGAGAGGAGGTGGCCTCCATGAACGGAGGCAGCTTCAGCTGTAGGGTGATGACAGCGCAGTAGGGAAGGACGTGATGAAAAGTAAGAGGATGAAAATGCTGACTCCTAGCAGAGATTGCATAAAAGCCAACACAGGAAGAAAACACAAAATTTAACTTCACAGCAAGTCAAGACCGAAAGACCTTCACTATCTCCCAAAGGAAGATTTCTTCATTAGTGCAACCGGTACGGCAGCAGATGCTGCCCAGACTACTCACGCTTAAAACTGGCCTGTCCTGTGAGTTACAGTGCAGCTAATACCTTGTAAAGAGTCTCAAGCTAAATGAAGAGGCAGGCTTGCACAGCAAGCAAACACGCTTTTAACAGGGCTGCACCACAAGACCATGACAGCTGCAAACACAGCTAAAGACCACTCACAGCTTACTGCCATTGTGCTGCTCTTTATGGTAAAATGCTTCACAAAAACCTGTGAGCATAATGGAAGTAAGCACTATAAACAAGACCTAGTAAAATGTTTTTGTTCTAATAAAATATGGTTCTCTAGACACTGGAGTATACTAACCATACTTGAAACATGTTTTAGGCAATGCAGAAACCATCATTTTCAGAAAGCAAGATTAGGACTAGAGTTAACAGAAAATGCCATCAGAATAGCCTAATTCGGGACTGTGGAAATAAGTTCACTGTTGAATGCCATACATTTGCAATAAATATAATCTGTCAGGCAGTCAATCAACCAAAAGTTTAGAGCTTCAGACAAGTACACAGGGGATGGATCCATCCTTTGAGGGGTTTGTGGGATCTGCGTAACGGAGAGACTCTCCTACAAGAGTTTGTACAGAGGGCAGGCTATCACAAGACAGTCCTCACTAAGGGCATTCAGCAGTGCTTTCCTCTTGAAAAAATATTAGCTACTCTGGAAACCCATTAAGATTTAATCACCGAATATTATTCTTGCACATAAAATTGCCATCCAGTGATCCAGAACTTCCCTGGCAGACTCTGTCTGATTCTCAGACAAGTGTATGAATTCCTTGGTCAGCTATGAGATACTTTAGGAAGTTATTTGTCTATAGATGTGTTAAATACAAATTTCTGCAAAGTATGAGAAATCTTGGCAGGATATTTGGGTTGTGATACTGAGAGAAGTGTGGTTCTAGACAGCCTGATATGTCACAATGCATTTTGAAAAAGCACTGCATCGTAGTGCCTCTCTAGGGTCAGCTAAAAGCTCAAGCATGAACTGAAGTGCTTATACTTTTGCACTATGACAACTGGAGCAAAGACAAATTATTCTACCCCTGGCAGTAGTTCCCCCTTTTTTGAAAAACAAAACCAAAAACCTCATCGTACAGAATTAGATGAAGAAAGGACACCTTCAGACAGGCTGCGTGAAGGTCAGTCAGGGAACACGTCTGTGAAGTAGAGAACAGATTTGCTGTTGGGAATAATTACTGAAATACAATAGCAATCCAATTACTGCTAAGTGATAAAACATTTATTTAGAATGAAGTAAATACACCCCTTATACTCTGCCGCAGTCCAGCCTATTTCAAGCAGGAGGTAAGTTGTTATGGCCAATTGTGGCAATGTTTAACACCAACAATTTTGTAGAAATAGAGGAATTCATAACTACCTAGGCTAATCTATACACAGCTTACTGACAGCCAGCCTAGGTCTCAGTAGTTCAGGCTTCCTAGGAAAAAAAAAAAGGAAATCAAAATCAAGCTTGTACTGTATGTTTTGAAAACAACTGTTTGCAGCACAGGAGACTTGGAAAGCAAGTGTTTCACTTCAGTGACAGTGGCTTATTCATTTCTTTTCTTTTTGTTTTTTTTAAAGACTGTATTAAGCTCTGGTATGAGGGAACAGAGTGTCACTTAAAAGAATCATGCTTATTTCCCCACATCTTGTATTTTACCAAGAACTGTAATATTTGTGAACAACTAGTTACATCTACTGAACAACCACCTATTGTTGAATTGTTGAACCTATCACTGAACTATCAAAAGGCATATCCAAACCCAAGCTTTATTTAATAAAACTTATGGCTTTTAATAAAACTTAAGTTTTCATGCAGAAATGAAACAGACAAAGAAGGAAGCACATGAAGTGGTGGTGCTAGTTTATAATCCTGAAGAGTATAACTGGATTTTCAGCCCCACCAGTACAAGTGCCCAAAAAGCTGGGGGGCTGCAGCAGGAGGCTGCCGTGACACCGAAGGGGTCTCTGCCATGCTGAGAGGGTGGGAGGGAAGGGGGTTTGCCCAGCTTGGGGAGGGCAGGAGGGGCTCTAGCTGCGGTCTCCCACCCCAACAGGCCATCAGAGCCCCACTCTCCCCAGCGAAAGGGTGAGAGGAACGGTCTGAACTGCAGCAAGGGCAACGCGGCTGAATAAGGAAGAAAGTTTTCACAAAAGGGATGGTTGTGCAACAGAGCAGGGTTGGAGCGACTGTGCAAGGCCTTGAGCAACCGGATCTGACATTGCAGTTGGTCCCAGCCATCACACAGGGAACTGGACCGATGACCTCCACAGGTCCCTGCCAAGCCAAGCTCTTCTGCAACTCACGCTCTTCACACCCGCTGTCAGAGACCTCTAACCTTGCAGTCACCTTAGGCCTTTCAACTGCATGCAACATTTACTCACCAATTTTAGTACATTTAGTCACCAATTTTAGTACATTTCTACACATCAACATATAACACTGCATCTTTATTTAGTGTTGGTTTTGGTTTTAAACTGATTAAAATAGAGATTGCTAACTGACCAGCAAAGAATGGAAAAAAGATAATATAAAATGAAAAATATCTGGAATATAGATCTAAAATGTCTGCAATTTTAGTTGCTGCTGTGATCTCAGCAGGGGTGCGTATGCAGCAAGACCGACAGAAATGCTCCTAGAGACAGAAAGACATTACACCAACTCAATTATCATCCCAGCATGACTGGATTTCTTTCGTCAATCTTGGCACTTAACAACAGTGTCATCATTCCAAAGATGATCTGCTATTAATTCAACACAAGAATCACACTGCTATATCTTTAAGATTTTGATAATAGGCAGCTGAAGACAAAAATCGATCACTGCTATTTGCAGAAGCAGATGCTGCTGAAAGATGACACCACACTAAACGTGTCTGTGCCAAAAAGCATTTAACTTCCTAGTTTTATAGGGTTAGACTAAAATATGAACATTTGACAGAAAGTGAGATCACAAGCGTGGCAGAGCAGAGCCAGAGAAGAGCAGAGAAGGTCACCCTGTGGTGACAAGGCAGGCTTCACTATGCATTTATTTTGGAACCTAAAGAGTTGCTTATAAGGATGAGCCGCGAGAGCTCCCTGGAGCCATTAATGGTCTGCCATTTAGATACGCAGTCATCTTTTTAGGAGCTGTATTAATTACACAAATGGAACACCACAGCTCCACTGGAGCCGGTCCAGCTGACTGCAGAATTGCAGGTTTGGGCTAGCTGTACAGAGCCACAGGCGCTGGGAGGACCGCTCCTCGTTCAGCCTGCCATGCGGTGAAGAACAGAAGCCCTCCACAAAAAACTCACAAATGCTGTCTGGTATACAGTCATGTTCAGGAAAGTATAAGAGCATCAGTATTGTTGTGTGTGAGAATGGAAAAAGATGAAATTGATGGGTCCAAAGATAGAGAATGACATAAGTTGTGAGCAACAAATATCCCCTTATATTTTGATTTTTAAAGGAGTTTATTACTGATTTCAGCGTTAGTC